AGGACCAGGCCAGGGACGGCGGGGCGTCTCCTCCTCACTCCAAGCCCAGCTGGGCGGCAGACATGGCCGCTAACTGAGTTTTCCTTCCCACTCTGGGAGTCCGAGGCACTGAGTCAGCAACCTCGACGCCCAAAGGAGTCCTTCTAGAGGGAGGAGCCCAGGGTCAGTGGGGTGGAGATTAAATGTTACAGAGGTCAGGTTGGCTGACCCAGAGTCACAGGACATCGGTGCAGAAAGGAGCCCATGCTGAGCTGAGGACAGAGAGGCTCAGAGACTCGCCCAAGGTCACACAGCATGTTAATGGCAACCAGGGTTAGAACCTGGGCCTCCTGACCTCGCACCCGATACTTCCCTGAGAGGGCAAAGGCAAGGGGTGGCTCTCCCGTCCCTCCCTCCTCTCCTGCTTGGTTCAGCCACTGGTGTTTGACCTTCTTTCCTCCCCCCGCAGCCAAAGAGAGCTCCCTGGGTGAGCCAGAGTTGCCGCCCGACTCTGACACCGTGGGGATGGACAGCAGCTACCTCAGCGTGAAGGAGGCTGGGGTGAAGGGGCCCCAGGACCGGGCCAGCGCCGACCTCCCCAGCCCACTGGAGAAGGCGGACTCCGAGAGCAACAAGGGCAAGAAGCGGCGGAACCGAACGACCTTCACCAGCTACCAGCTGGAGGAGCTGGAGAAAGTCTTCCAGAAGACCCACTACCCCGACGTGTACGCGCGGGAGCAGCTGGCCATGAGGACCGACCTCACCGAAGCCCGTGTGCAGGTCAGTGAAGGCGCCTGGGAGGGCGCGGGAGAGCAGGGCCTGCCCTTGGGATGGTGGCCGGAGCCTGGGCCGCCTGACTGTCCCCGGTCACGCCAGGGCTTTCTTCACCTCGGTGCAAGGAGCCCGCCCCTCACGCCCCGGCTCCAACCAGAGCACGTCCGCATTTACTCACTTTGCTGTCTGGCCTCTTGCTCTGGTTGGAGCCGGGGCGAAGCTCCCAGTGGACGGGCAGGAAGCCTGTAAGCTGTACTTCTGAGTTCTACGTGGTGTGGGCGTCCAGGCCCTTTCATGAAGGAGATGGTGACTGGTCTCTGCTCTGGAAGGCCCATCTCTTAGAAAGGAAACAGGACGAACTTAAATACATCCATAGCAGCCCAGTGGGCAGAAACAGAGACAACCCAGCTCTTCTTTTTGCCCAGGATGGCTGCCTCGTCCTCCATCTTTCAGGTTCCAACTCAGTATGCCTCCTCTGAGAAGTCTTCCCGACCACCATGGCTAAAGAAGGGGCCCCCACCATCACCCGACCACCAAAACACTCAACCCAGCACAACCCAACAGAGCTCAACACAGGCCAGCAGAGCCCAACACAACACAACACAGCACAACCTAAACCAACACAGCTCAACCCAACACAGCTCAACACAACCCAGCATAACCCAAATCAACACAGCTCAACTCAACAGAACTCAACACAGCTCAACACAGTACAGCCCAGCACAGCACAACACAATATAACCTAAACCGACACAGCTCCACAGAACTCAACACAGCTCAACACAGCCTGTCAGAGCCCAACACAACACAGCATAATGTAAACCAACAGAGCTCAACCCAACACAGCCCAACAGAGCTCAATGCAACCCAACAGAGGCCAACACAACACAACATAACCCAACCCAACACAGCTCAACACAACCCAACACAACATGACACAGCTCAACACAGTAACAGAACCCACCAAAACCAACACAACACAACAAAACCTAACACATCTCAACCCAACCCAACACAGCACAATAGAACCCAATACAGCTCAACCCAACCCAATACAGCTCAACCCAAATTAACACAAAACTAACACAAGCAAACCAGGTCAACTTCTACCACATTGTCCTATTTAATCTTTTTTATAGAATTTACGACGGCTTAAAATATTTTATCTGTTTGTCTCCTCTCACTGGAATATGAGCTCCTTGAGGGCAGGTACTGTCTGTTGTTCAACACCGTATTCCTACCAATTAGAGAAGGCCGAACTCAGAGCAACAAAGGCAAAAAATAAATATACGTGGACCAACTGACCTCCTTTGACTAGAGAGGTGTGTCTTCCCTCCCTGCATGAAATTACAGCAGAGAAAGAACCAGAAAGGAATCAAAGTCCTCTAAGTACCCCAAACACAGGCGACAAGATCCATGCACTAAAGCTTGAGCTTCAGCATAACACAGAATAAACGTCATGTTCAGCCCGCCTTTCCAACCCAGAGCACATTAGAAACAGCAAATCAGGTGTTGGCAGAGAGCTATTTTCCCCCTCCTGTGGGCTGTGGAAATCAACAGCTTCAGAGCAAAGGGGAGTTTTTTTAAAAACAAGCAGCACAGTTCAGATCAGCTCAGCACAGCTCTGCTCGGGTCTCTTCAGCACCAGGACAAAAAGCCCTGTTACTTCACAGACCCTGAGGGCGCCTTCTGTTGCATTTGTTCACTGAAGAGTCTTCAGCAGTGTTTCTAAGGCATCAATAAAAGGTTCATCAGTCTCAACCATGCTCTGTTTAAAAAGGCAGAGGCATTTGTAATATGGTCCAGAAACGTTTTCATCTAAAATGGCTAATGTGGGGGACTTCCCTGGTGGTCCAGTGGTTAAGACTCCACGCTTCCACTGCATGGGGCTCGGGTTAGATCCCTGGTTGCGGAACTAAGATCCCACATGCCATGCGGCGCAGCCAAAAATTTAAAATAATAATAATAAAATAAAGTAAAATAAAATAAAATGGCTAATGTGAAAAGGGACTGGTAGTTGTCAGTGAATACACAGCCATCCAGAAACAGCAGGAACCCGAGGGGGTTCTGAACAGTCAGGTCGTTTATCTGTAAATTCCCAAAAACAAGCTTCCCGGTTTATTCCTCTCCAGTTCGCAGTAAGTGTTTGGGGAAGAAAGGCAGGGCAGCTGAGGCCTCACTGCGATTCCAGAAACCTTCTCACACCCATTGTCCCACCTGAGTCATGCGACTTCCTGGTGCCTCAAGAGTCTGGACAGGAACCACAGCATCTGGCCTCAGCTCAGCCAATGGATGTGGGAGGAGCTAAAGGAGTAGGTGGAGAGGGGGTGGCTGTTATGGGGCATTCCTGTAGATGCTTGGTTT